GCCCGTACATTTCGGACTCTGGATTGGCCAGACATCGTGGGCTGGAGTCGTGGCCTGTGTGATTTTGGAATGGGGCCGTGGCCTTCTAGAGTGGAAATTGACACCCATGAAAATCGGTGCGCCACGGTTATCTCATTCCCCGGAAAGCATGTACGCTAACATTTGTACGTGTACATAGCATGAAGTTTGGTGCAGCCATTCAAGCGTTGCACGACGCAGATGTGGAACATCGCCAGCTGGATGATTGCCTGCCACTTGCTTTACAATGAGGGAACTGGGGCCGTTCGAATCGTGGATTTCACGCAGGCTATAGGTCGACATGTATGCCTGGCGTCAGCTGCCTCTTATTCACTATGGAGTTTGTCCATCCGAGGAGATCATGCAATGCAGAGAGCTGACCCCGGCCGGAAGGCTTCTGGGTCTCTTTGTCTCTGCGCCCAGTGACTCGTTCTCGAGTCTATACATTGACCTTTCTGATTTGATTCACCTTTGCAGAGGGCCAAGATGTGGACATGAAGAAGGCGTGTATGTTTACAAGCGCAACAGAGCTTTGGGACTTTCGCATCCTCTGGCACTTGAGGCCCAGTCGCAATTTCTTTTGAGGTAACGGGATAGCTACTGGCACGGAGCTGGCAGACAGCCTGACAAGAATTTCAAACGGAATGGAAAGCCTTGCAGCTACATTCGCAACAGACCTGTTACTCCGGAGGTAATAGAGGTGATCCTGAAGGAGACTGGTGTGTCTCGACGGGCATCAAATTCGTCTCGGAGTAATACCTTTTTCTCCGTAGTTTGACCTTGACTGGCCCCATTGGCCAGGCTCTATGTCTTGCACAAATTTAACTTACACTTCGCACATTCTTACACTCAATAGTAGAAGTATTGCTACAATGTTAGGCTTTAGCGCCATTTAGTCTAATTCCATTGAGTTGTTTTTGAACTGTTATGTAGTGACGTTGCTGATGTTCACATGGTCGGTCACCACATTGGCCTAATGCTGAACTTGAGGAGAGCTCAGAAGGTGTGAAGCCTGTAAGCGTACTCAAAAATTACAGAGCACGCAGATGTCCTTCAATTACGTAACTGGCCATCATCGTTGCAATCAACTGCCATGGACAGCGCTGAGTTTCATGCGGCTGTGTACGATGCTGTGAGGCATATTCCGGTAGCTCGCGTTACTTCCTACGGTACGTCCCTAGCCCCTCACGATCCCCTCTCCAAGGCTGCGACTGTTACCTCTATGCAGGCCACATCGCCAAACTCATCGGCATGCCCACATATTCACGCCACGTCGGTCAAGGTAGTATCAATTACCGTCATAGAGTCTCACTCGATTAAATAACACGCTGTATAGCATTGAAGTTCACCTCGCCCGACGCAGATCCTCCTGTGCCGTGGTATCGCGTCATTTCATCGACAGGCGCGATATTGTCTCGCGGACCGGGGACGGATGGAGCACAGCGGCAAAGGGAGGCCTTGGAAGCGGAAGGCGTAGAGGTCTCTGATCCTGGATTGAAAGTCGATCTGAGGAGGTGGGGATGGTTTCCCGACAACCTTGAAGAAGACGTTTGACGTATGATCGGGATGATCCCGCGTTTCGAAGCAGGTGTACTGTCGCGTGTTTGAACACTAGCTATGATCGTATACAATACTATCATAAGGCCGCAATTCTCACTGCCACGTCATTTTCTATCGATCTCGGTCTACATCGCTTTAAGGTAGGCTATGAAGGTGAATGAAGGTGAATACAGCCAGCTCAATACATCTTTATTTTGAGTCAGGGAAAGAATGAGAACTACTCTAAAATATCTAGTGAAACACTGTATAAAAATAGAGGCACCCTACAATTATTGGTAGTACAATCTCCACAACAAGAAACAGCGACTGATGATAAGGATGGTAGAGCATTTTAGACAGTGATGGTGAATTTAAGCTTATCGCCCTCGAGCTCGCACTTGACTGAGTTCATATTCTCGACCAGGAAATGAGCACCACAGTTCTCAATCTTCGACCTTTCATGCGAAGTACAAACAGCGATCACAGTCGCACCGCTAGAAACACCCGCCCGGATGCCGGAAGGAGAATCTTCAAACACGACACACTTCGAAGCGTCGTATCCGAGACACTTTGCGGCAAGAAGGAATGGATCAGGCGCAGGTTTGCCAGCCTTGAGACGCTTGTCGTCGGCAGTGATAGTGACAGGGGGAGGGGTTATCCCGACGCGAGTCATGCATCCGTGAGCTGTGGTAGAATAATAAGTCAGACTGATAGACCGAAAAAGATAAGGAAACTCGCCATATGTCTTGGCTCCCGAAGTCGCGACAGCATATCTGCCCGCGGGAATAGAATTCATCAACCTCTTCACCCCAGGAAGAATGCGGACGGAGCGGTCAACGCTCGCCGCTTCGATCTGCCAAGCCTCCAGTTCATCCCGACGCGTCTTCTTGTTGAGAGCCTCTTCGTCGACAATGTCGCTGTGGTTTGCCTCCATGACAGTGTCCTCGAAGGTAGGTTGATACACATGAGTTTCGGGAACCGCGCTCATGCGAAGAAGGTTCTGGAGACGGCTGGTGAAAGAGGGACGGCGGGATTGGGAGGAAATGATCGAGGAGGCGCGAGAGCTCGGCGCCGAGCTTGCGGGAGTCAGATCGGGAGTACCAAAACCCGAACTTGCGGGAGAACGGAGGGGGGAGTCCATGGGGGAGTTGGAAAAAGAGTTACTGCGAGATCCAGGGCCGTGGATGTTGTAGGCGTCGGCGTAGAAGAGAATCGACTCTTCAAACTTGGTGACTTCGTCGTCCATTTCGTGTTCTTTGATGTAGGGCTTGAATGCGGCGAGGTTGTCCACGGCGCGTTTACCGTGGGTGGCGGCGATGACATAGGCTGGGTCCTCCCCAATGTCCTTCGCGACTTTGCCCCAGGCGGCTTCTACAGCTTGAATAGAATCCGTCAAGGTTCCATCCTATTAGCACGCTGGCAGAGTTAGATTGGGAAGACGATGGTAACAAGGTACACACCATGTCAAAGAGGACCGCGTCGGCGTAGAAAGTATGAGTCGAAGACATGATTTCACGAAAGGGATAATTTGATAAGAGGTGTAGTCAGGGAGATGAAGATTCGACTGGGAGTTGGGGAAATTGGTCGCAACATGGCACTTTATATACAAGGATGCTTTGATTAATAGGGGAATGTGACGTCAAGGAGGGCTGAAAAAAAATTTGTCTGAGTTGTCATCTGGGCCAGCATCTCAAGGCGAAGCGGGTTGCCATAACGGGAGACACTGCTGGATAGCTGAGGGACAGCCACCAAATAAGTAACGCTGATTTGAGCGTTGGCGATTGGTATTTCCATTATAAATGCCCTTCCGAAGGCTCCACAGTTCCAAGGTCCACGATCAGTTTTTTTTCTGCGGTTATAGCAGGAAGATACGGCTCCAGGTGTTCCCTAGAATGAGTGGGCAACTTTATTAGAACCCTCCGAGAATGGTGGATGTCAACTTACATAGTAGCTCTAATCGACACCATGGGAAGTACAAACGTACAAGGCGGTGATGATCTCCTTTTTTGGGTGATATGATCAAATCGGTTGCTGTCCATAAAAGGTTCGTTACCACGTTTTCCTGGACAACACCCGCACAGCGAGGCACAGCCGATCGTGTCTGCATGCACTACCTTCCAGCCTCCTTCCCTCATCTCCTTTAACAATGACTCCTTGACTACATTCTTCTTCGCCTTTTTGCGCAAAGAGGTATTTTGTGTCGCTCTTATCGTTTTGCCGGACCCACTACTGGTCGTCCATGCTGTCGGGATTCACCTGAATTAGTAGCCAAAGGTCCTGCGTCTCGATCGCCAACGTTGGATTTAGGTCTTATTCTGCTCCCCTACATGTTGCTCTTCCGCGTGTAGCTAGAGCGTTATGTAACGACATGCCAGGAGCCCTATCTTTGGGCAGACGTTCTCCCGCACTGGCCTGTTCTCTCTGTCACTAGAATGTCTTCTTTAACTCATGTGTTCATGTATCAGAAAGTTTACCTGCATAGACCTGCATGTGACGCAGCCTAGACCAAGGTACTAATAACAAAGAACAGACGTATTTCACTGAAATGGGAATCATGTCGCGCCGCCCCCACTTCAGGTCGTTTCATCTGCAGCTTGTGGCTTGATTACCGCTCGGCGTCTTGTATCATGGGATCAAATGGACCTCCGTCCCCCCGCGTTTGTGACTTGCGAGGACCTTCCATCTCCTTCCACTCCTTCCACTCGGAGTGCCCTCAAGGTTCCTCAAGGTCTGCTGTTACTGGTACAAATGCATGTGCAACAAACGTGCCTGACGTCACCGACCTTTATCAATCCATTGTTCTGTATTCGTCTTCAGTCCACCATTATCGTCATATTATGATGGGCAGTCTCCAGTTTGACGAAGACCTAGTCCAAGAAACAGTCTTCCGAGTCGGTCTTCGGGTCAAGTTCGCGACCTCGAAAAGCCAACAGAAGAGCTTCGAATGTTGATCATCTAAGTGCTTCCTTTTAGCTCCGTTCAGTACCTTTCATTTCGCCCTGGAAACTCTCTTTAGACATGTGAAAATGTCGGTGGAAGGATAGACGATGTACCTAGACGGACAAACTATTTTGTCAGAAAGTTTCTATGGTTCTGCTCGAGCACAGGGAGCAATGCTTATCTCGAAGCTCGTTCCTCATTTGATTTCTACCCTTCAAGGCACAGTCTAAAGATGACTCCGAATATCCTACTCCCGTGTTGGAGCCCAGAGGCGTTGCCATCTGAGCAATTTGGACTTACGTCCGCCTTCCTTGTACTTCCGACTTACTCCAGGGCGATAGTGTGTGAATTCGCATGTATTTTTTCTTGGAAATCAGTCTATCAGGGCGATGTTGAGAATAACACAAGCCCGAGTGACCTATTCTGTGCTGGGCATTGACGTTGACGATGGCAAGGCATTTGCCGAGCCGGATGATATACGATCACTAGACACTTGTATGCAGGCATTAATGGGGTAGTGGTAACCTGGGTCGTTGCCATGGTGCGGATATTTCGACCCGCCGGGGGTTCGATTCCCTCTTAATGCACGTTTTTGTTTACCCCTTCCCAGAGGGGTCAAGGAATCCGGAATAACTCTTGACTTTGAGTTTTGAATCTTGAGTTGAAAGTTGACATCTGGCAGTGAATAGGTACTTTGGTTCTTGGTGGCGAGACTTAGTCCGACTCCATCCCAGGATCATGATCCCTGGTGATGTTACTCAGATATGACTGCGAAGCTTCGTTATTCTATTTTCCATGAGGCAGGATCTGCTACTTTGAACCACAGAGTCACTCATATTTGATCCCCCGGACGGCATTTCGAAACTGTAGGATCAGCCCTCTCAACTGCGATGAAACCTTCCGGTCCTCAACTGGCCGGAGTCCGGTACTGACAGTTTGCATCATCCCTAGGTATATCGGCATTCTTCTATCTTACGTCGATGATCGTGATCACGTCGTTGAAAATGTCGGATGTCCATTCTTTGAGGTCAGGGAGGTTAAATTTGCGACAGCGCAAGTTCTCGGTGATTATAATGTCACTGCCCATTCCAAATTTCGGACTTCAGACCACAGATATAATGACACCTTAAATAATCCGTGAATGCGTATATGTACAATTGCCTATGATAATCCATGGTAATTTTGAATCTATTTATCGGGAAACCAAAGTTAGTTCGTTCGGGAAATTTATAGAACGGAAGGGCTCACCTTCGTTGCCGCATTATTACAGCTGTGTAGATTATCTACACCTATGTTTTATGAACCACAGGTCAGAGCGGCATGATTAGTTATTAGTAGTATGACGATTGCATGTGAATTTGAGTATTTGAATCGGGAACTGGAAAGTGATGACCGTTGCAGGCGGCGGCATGGCGAGAACGTATACGCCAGCGGTAGATAAGAACAGCATGGAGGATAAATAAATGGGATGACGAGCATATCCAATGTCGACAGCGGAGGAAAAGGGACTGGGCGCGACCACTCGAATAAGTCACATCTACAATTAAAGGTTGTCAGCGCAAATGCCACCACAGTCAACGCGTCGCAGACTCACCCAGATATCAAACCTTTTCTTCCTTCGCGAACAACTGATATCCGGCGGACCGGGGTCAACAGCCCGCATAACGCATGTCGAGGGGCTCGAGGTTGTGAGCATAACAAAGGAAATCACTTTGAGATTGTCGTCAAAATCTATGGTGCACTCAAAGTCCTCTCTCCACCCCTTCCGGCTTGACCTCCACGTCCAATGCACGCTCCCGAGGAGAATGACGCGCCCTGAGTGCGCCGAGATCCTCATGGAGTGCTTTTCCATCGCAGAGCGCTCGTAATGTGTCGCTAGCAGATCAAAGTACGATCGAACGGCGTTCAGCCCCGTGAATCGATAAGCATCGGGGGTTTTACAGTCTGCGAACGAATGCTGTATAGTGACCGTGTGGTGCTGGGAAAAATGTGCCAAGAGGCGTATAGATGGGGAGTTGTTGGCGATGTCGGAGAAAAGATCCTCTGCGACGGCTGTAAGGTCTGATACAGATGGTGACATTGTGGGAGGGAAGAACTCGAACGTTTAGCCAAGGCAAGTAGGATCCTATATAAATCATTGGACCTCGGGCAGACGGGGATATATTTTTGGCATGGCCGCAGAAGGGTTCCAGGTTCGCAGGGACTTGGCGCCGGCTGGTCGCAGTCGAGTGAGTAAAAAACATAATACGGGCACGTTTACGGACTTACTTCACTGGCATCATTGGTACTTTGGTACGCCGTCTATGGGGCAAGAAGTTGATATGATATTAGACACTCACGTCAGTTGAAAATCCGGCACGTTCGCGGTCCTGCCACGGATATCAGCCGACAGCTTCGGATTAGCGGTCTACTATCCGCGGGCGCTTGTAAGTTTTTGTTATTGAGGGACATTGCTCAAGAAGGTGCGGACAAGATTTAGCCACGAGACAGATGCAGTACCCGATTATACTTTTCGGGCCGAAGGCACTTTGACTTTACAGTACACCGTGCAGAGAGTTTTGACTGTACAATTGCGGATTTTCAGGGTGTAGTACGAAAACAGCACGCTGATTCCGGGGTGGAGCTGCACTCGATTTCAAAATCCACATGGCAGTTAACAAGATCAGTGTACGCCAGTGGGTCGATAAATAAGTTCTAGATGCCAGCTAAAAATTTCGACTCGGGACGTCAGCAAGACAGCTTGCAAATGAATTCGGGCATCGGTCATAGCGTGCTTGTAAATATTAGTACGACCCCGGCCTAAAATTGTTGAGGGATCAATTCAGCGCCTCCGAGTCTCGAGACCGATAGATAGCTTTCCGATCCCAAATACAGCTCCAGGGTCAGGTTCCGGGACAGTTCCTTGTGGCGTGTCCCTTGTGGATCTCTTCCAAAAGGAATCTTGCCAAGACCTTACCGTGTAGTGCCCTTTCGGATGAAAGATGGATGCAGACTGTGCTCACCAGTGGAGCAAAACTGCGTTCGTAAACAACAACAAATGGAAAGGGGTGGGTCCGTATTTGCTTCAGTCGTATTTCAATTTCGCTGTACCTCTTTGCGCGACAATCCTGAACCAAACGGGCGTTGACACAAAACCATTGCATATCTCATTCGTGCTTCGCGGCACCAACAGGCACCAATTTCACCATGCACAATTGTTGGGGCTCTGTGGCGGCGGTTCCGCGGTGCCTTTAATTTGAAGACGACCCCATTCCATCGGATGGGTTGGTACGCGCCAGTAACTTTAATCTCGGCGGTTTTTGTATCGACTGAGTAACAGGTACCTTTCATACGAGCGTCAGACGCATATGTATGTATCATTGAACTATCAGAGTCACTGTGAACCACAGAAGATACGCTCAGCCTGTCATTGGCATGAGAATGCATACTCTGGGTTTAGGAAATGTTGCTTTACCTGCTGATTGTCAGTAAAAGTCAAAGTCAAAATCAAGGACCGAGGGACAGGGATGATGTCTTAAGGTGGCGCGTCAGAATACAGCAGCCTCTCGACAAGGCTTCGTTTGTAACGATTTGACAATCTGGCATCAAAGAAACGCCTGCGGAATCAGAACCCACATGTTCTGGGTGGTATCATCAAGGGCTCTGATTCAGAGCACGGATCCATTCCTACGAGTTGCGAGCTGAAGTCCTCAGATAAGAGTGAACCTCCGTTGTTCCTTCCGAACCCTAACACGCGAAGCCTAGGAACCGATATAAGATGCATCAGGAGCCTGCATGTTCGAAAGATCAGGTACAAGTGGCGTACATTATCAATCGGAATGGTACGCAAAGCCTGAACCTATGCGAATATTCGGATCATAATGCTAGGGATTCAGAAGCCGTAAGCCTATGTATTGAACTGCCACCGAAAGAATGACTTGCATAGACGGAAACTGCCAGGAATACCGTTATGTGGCGTAGAACCTGGTATAAGAGGTACAGCTCGTTCCTTGTCTTACACACTATCGACCATCCCTAGCTAGTACGGACGGGTCCAAAGTCCGAAGAACGTTGAATATGGGCAAGAACGAATGCTTGAGTGGATATTAAAGACACGGACCGAAATTGTGGGTCCTGCGTGGGTCCGAGTGCTTGAAAACGGCTATGAAAATCTAGACATGGCCAGCTCTTAGCAACGAAAACTGAGTCGCACTGGTCAAATCAACAAAAAAAATTGCTGAAGTTCGGTTCACTCCAAGATGAGATCACTCACTGCGCTTAAATTTGAATCACTAGGAGACGAAGATAGGCAAATAGTGCGCCACGGCTTGCACTCAACTCGAATCCGGCCGTGGTGATCGTATTTGGGCTAGACTGACGTGAAGGTATATATTTTATCAGCGCAGTTTTAGAGAGGAGATTCGAGCCAACAAATCGGTAGATGTCCAACGGAGAAGCTACATTGCACAGCCCATTCGCTGGACCGCTTGAGTTCAAAAAGCAAGGACGAAAACATGCGGAGTGCCCTGGCATTCGCGTGAGTATTTCTTCCCAAATATTGGTGGATAGCGGGGAGCACGAAGGTCAATCCGTGGGGAATGCGCTTATAAATATCATTGGGCCATGGTGTATAACAGATTCACAGGACGGTGCAAGACACCGTTCTGACCAGCACGAAAAAAATGTACAGTTCGATTACGACATGATCAGGGTACATAAGCTTACCCGCGAGAGTGATCGAGACCTGAAAAATGTTCATAGAATATATCTTTATTTTAATCTATGCAGGCAATTCACTCAACTGGAGCCCTGAACATGCACCCGATAGACGCTTAGAAGATTTGAATTGAAGTCAAAACGATGCTGAAAAAAAATGTCAGGAGTCAAACTGGAAACGGCAAAGATGAACGTACGCTTTGAACATCTGACAGACCGGCAGTGAACGCCAAATCCTCGGGTTTCAGTACTCACTGGGAGTTCTGGTCTAATGCAACTGTCAAATAACGATGCTGTCTTCGGCACCATTGATTCCGTTGCTGAGTTAGTACGGGGTCAATCAATGACGAGAAAGGAACGAGCACTGGCAAAGAAATCGACCCTTTGGGTCGGAAAGCCCCAGCCTCTGACCAGTTTGCATCATCTCAACCTGTTGTACCTGCCATATCCCAGTTAAACAGAATAATGCAATGACCAGCAAAGTGAGCACAACCCTTATAATAACCCACACCAACCCATACGCAAACCGTCAAGTCGTTCATCTATTCTTGGATTGATCATCAAGCCACCAATCGAGGCAAATTGACCTCTCGGTCCCGGACTTCCAAATACTGTCCAGAGCTCAAGCCGCGCATCACATCTACAATACCCTTCGGGATTTGGTATGCTGCTAAAAAGTCGCATCAAGGGATTTAGGATGTAAAGCACGGTACACGCACCGAAGACATAGTATAAGCGACTATGATCAGGTTGGCGATTTCAAACTTTTAGAAACAAATGACTTAGCGATCAAGACGACGAGTTGAACTATGAAGTGGGTGCGCTTGAGTTACTGATCCTCACTAGATGTCATCCAAGAGAGAATGCAGCCAGACGAGACTGTTTCACAGCC